GCCACACGCACCACGTGCATCAAGGAGGAAGTTATTGTTAATCATCATTATTATTATTATCATTATCATTGATTGTTATTTCTGCGAAGAGAGAAGAGACTTACAGCTTCAATAGACGAGTGCGGGTCTCGAACGAAAGAGGCCACACTGACTGCATCCTGTTAAACGAAAGCTCTCTGGGGCCAAACCAAAATGGTTGGACGTTACGACGCATTGCATGGAAAGAACAAGAGAGAGGGGTTAGCCCTCTGCCTTCTGCCCTCTGCCCTCTGCCATATGCTGATGTCCAATAACAGCAAATGTCGTTACAGAGAACGGGAAGCACAGAAGCAAGGACCCGACCCGTGTTGTTGACCAATAAGGGGGCAGGCAGCGTGCCGAGCAGGAAGAATGAGGGAGAGAAATCAGTAGTGGGTATGCGGAAGGGGCGGGAGGAATGGCGTGGGAAAGGGGCGAGAAGAATGGGTGTGGGAAAAAGGGGCGGGAAAAAGGGGTGAGAGGAATGGGTGTGTAAAGGGGGCGAGCGGAATGGGTGTGGGAAAGGGGGGGTGGGGAATGGAAATAGAGCTTACAAATCTACGAGCCTGGTGAGCTCCCTCAACTCAGCAATCGCAGTTTCAAAGCCACATCTGCTCAATTTCCTGTTGGAAAAGTAAGTGATGAAGAGAAAAGAAGGCGCATATTTCAGACTACCAGAGATGACATGACATGACATGCATGCAATGTGTGGAGCCGCCGCACAACACCATGAGGAACACCATGAGCAACACCATGAGCAACACCATGAGTAACACCATGAGCAACACCATGAGCAACACCATGAGCAACACCATGAGCAACACCATGAGTAACACCATGAGCAACACCATGAGCAACACCATGAGTAACACCATGAGCAACACCATGAGCAACACCATGAGCAACACCATGAGCAACACCATGAGCAACACTATGTAAGTGCCATGCGCTCAATAACCACTTGTGCATGCATGGGCATGGGGTTGCTTACAGCCGGGTGAGTTGAGCGATCTTGGCCAGATCCGAGGGGAAGCTTTCTAATGTTCCCGCCTGGCACTCCACCAACCTGCTTGATTGAAACAGATTGAAATGAAACAGATTGAAACAGATTGAAACAGATCGGAACAGATTGGAACAGATTGGAACAGATTGGAACAGATTGAAACAGATTGAAACAGATTGAAACAGATTGAAACAGATTGGAACAGATTGAAACAGATTGAAACAGATTGAAACAGATTGAAACAGATTGGAACAGATTGAAACAGATTGGAAGAGAAACAAGGCATGAAGTGAATCAGGTCAGGTACATGTGAGTCCGTGCGTGAAGCAACGCAGTGGATCTATTCCTTTGAGCACCCGTGCCAGCCAGGGAAGGAGCGAACCGAATGCGAAGTAGCATGCGCGAGGCGAGAGCACGCACGCACGCACGCACACATACTCATGTGTGTGTATGAGAAACGCATATAAGACAACGAGCGCTCGGCTATAAACACGCTGGACAATGGAAGCGCGTGTCTAGTGGACTGTGGACACATGCATATTATCATACAATCGGCTCTCTTTTTATCTCTCTTTCCCTCAAAAAACAACAAGGGCGCCAGTGGGCGGCAAATATTGCACATGCGGCATGCCCTGCCAGCAAATATAGAATGGCTGCTGCAGCACAGAGCAGAGAAGAGAGGAGCCAGGGAGCCAGCAGAGAGGTTCCAAGATCCACCCAACTACAGCATGGTGGAACGGCCAGCAGCAAGAAAGGTAGGGTTCAGTTGAGACTCACAAGTCCTTGAGCCACGTGACATCGTAGACTGAGCCCAATGGTATATGCTCCGCCCCCTTGACCTCCCTGCAACCAGATGTCAGTAGATAAAACGGAAACACTCAGGGGAGGAAAGTGGTATGGTATGAGGGCGTATGAGGGCGTATGAGGGCGTATGAGGGCGTATGAGGGCGTATGAGGGCGTATGAGCGCGTATGAGGGCGTATGAGCGCGTATGAGGGCGTATGAGGGCGTATGAGGGCGTATGAGGGCATATGAGGGCATATGAGGACCATCCTAGGATCGTTGTGCGCACACGTGGCTAGAACTTTCATCAATGTAGCACACATGCATAACAAGAAGAAGGATAATATGGACCAGAATTAGGAGGTGAAAAAGGGAGGGGAAGAGGAAGGGGGGAGTGGGGGGAGGAGAGGGGGGGGTGGAGAGGAGGGGGGTTGGGACAACGATAAAAAAGAGACGTGCATGCGTGAAACTAAAGGACCCGGGCCGGTTCGAGCACATTAATAGAAAGGCCAAAGAGCAGAATGTCGAATCGGTAATAAAAACTACAGTGGAGGCCACAGAGCGGAACGGACCAGCCCTGGCTGGCCCACCGGGGTCGCTAAGTCGTGGCCTGGTCCGGGCCGGGCACATTAGTGCGAGCGGACCAACCAAGGCCTGGCTGACCCGCCTGCCACCCGGACCAACCACCGCCTCTGCGGCTCAGCCAATGCTCGTGCGAAGGTCACATCACAACATTAAGCCAGCACGCCAAACACAAGGTACACAGGCAGCACATTCATAAACCAAAGAATAGAACGGAGAGGACAGACAAACAGATAACGTCTTACTACTGGGTGGCAGCGTTGCAACGGCGCAAAACGGAGAGTGAAAGCACACCCTTACAGCTTTGTCAAACGGGATAGACGGTCAACAGAATCCCGAGGAAAGACGGCCTGAAATGTTTGGTTGATGAACCTGCAGAGAGCAAGTGGCAGCTCCAGTCAGGTGCGTGGGAGTTGCCAGAACGTGGTCACACAGATTGTGAGTGGGAGGTATATTCATGTGCGAGGCATATCATGTGGAAGAAATATTCATGTGTGCAACGCAGCACAGAACAGCGCAGCGCAGCGCAGCGCAGCGCAGCACAGCACAGCACAGCACAGCGCAGCGCAGCACAGCACAGCACAGCACAGCACAGGTTATCAGGGGTGCGGACGCACAGGGAGGTGATCATGCCGTTTCGGTCGCATGTGAGGCCTTGCGCTCGCTTGCAGTCACTCCCCGCCTTCCAGCTCGTAACATTTATGCTCCAATACGTCTGCAGCTCCTGCAGCGCAGCAGCTGCCCGCGACAAACCGGCAGCCAGCAACAGTGCAGCTGGTAGTAAGTTATTGAGTTATTGAATTATTGAGGCATCGAGGCATTGAGGAGAATCAGATGATAACACCCAGGCTGCAGCGCTGGTAGTAATTGGCGCGCAATGCCCCCTCTCAGGGAAGAAGTTACGGCCAGCCAGCTACTCAACAGTTTCTCAGGGAGTGTGAGAAAGGCCCGGAAAACTGGGAGGCTCAACTGTCAGTTTGCACTGGCGTGGCGGCAAACGAGAGGTGCTGCGCATGCGGGTACGAAACGGTTCGCCCTGTGCATGGAGAGTGTGAGTCTAGTAGTAGTTCAAGTTCTCTATGGCGCAGCACAGCAATCCCCTTGGAAACTAACTCACTGAAATGGAACTACTGAAAAATGTCATCACAAACTCGCCCAGTAACTTTGTTACCGCTTTCCGGAATTCGTCGTCCATTCCACTGGTGTTCAGGTGTTCGCAAGAGGTTCCAGGGAAAGAACAGCATAACAGCCGTGGGGTGTGCGCGCATTGTAATAAGCTGTAGCTTGGATTGCGGGAAGTTGCTTTGCTGCTGGTTACGTCAGAGGTAACAACAGCGCGATTGTTAAGACGCTATAGTACCACTACTATTGCTATTGCTATGCTACCATACCACGGCTTGACGGGTCCAGCGCACCTTGCGATTTCGCAAGGCGTTGTGCGAGCAACGTGCACGGCAGGCAGCAGCATGCGAGCGCCGCCGCAAATAGCGGCGCCGCAAAGAGACCACGGAAACCGCGAAGCACCGCCATAGTAGCCGGCAGGTTTCCGCGACCGCGACTGGAGGCTCTTTGCGGTCTCTTCCCTGTCGCAACCCTAAACTCACTCGGCTGGTAGTAACGCGATTCGCGGCGTCAAAAGTCTGGACATGAGGGCAGCTCTCGACTTTCGTCTGCAAAGCAGATCATGGCATCCACCACACCGCACCCACCACCACCACCACCCGTGCCCTTCCCGCGCTGAAATAACACGATCCAGCCGTTGCCCTCATCCTAGCTACAACTTCGCCGCTTCCCACTTCACGGAAAAGGAGAGGCTCGACTCGACCCGCTACAGACGGCTGTGTCAATAACGGTTATTTCTTATCCTTACCGCTCCTTGATCCGCTTTCGCACGATGTATGCATTTTGGCATCATTGCAAGAAGACTCGATCTCCGTTACTGAGTGACTATGATTGTTATAAAATATAGATACGGCATTGGGCCCTCCAATACGAGCTCTACTGCGGAGAAGTGACCAGCTTGGTTTGGTCGATTATTTTGTCGTTTTGTTCGAATGAAGGGTATATATCTCTGCTAATAAATATCTAATGAGACGCATGGTGGTGGACACTTCAAGACCTTGGTCTCTCAACAGAAATCATCACCTCCTGTTCTTCCTCAACTAGAACCAAACACAAATGGGGATGACTGGACTCCTAAGCACAAGCCCCTTATGAACGAAACAGAAACAGCCTCACACACACACAGGTGAACTGTCAACCATTGGTGCAATGCAGCTGCATACTGTCACTTTAATTGCCTTCAGCCAACGCATTCAGCCGCGCAATCTCTGCATCCAAATCTGCATCTGCCATCCTCTCCGACTACACCTGCCGGTCCACCTGACAGGCGGCGGAGTTGCTAGGTTTGCCGCCCAGCGCCACCAGCACGGCCTCCAGCTCGGCTGCAATCACCCCCATGGCCGGCCGCGTGGCGCTCTGCTTGGCGGTGCATCGCAGTGCCAGCTGCACCACCCTCAACACCAACTCATCCCTGCCTCCATGTGCGCGTCCTTTAGACCTGCCTCAACCCCCCTGTTGCTGCCGGATTGAGCCAGCTGCTGCTGGACCTGGAGCAGATCAAGATGATTGAGGTTGAGACACAGAACCAAATGCGTGAGATAAGGGAAGGTTGTGGATGCGCGTGAGAGAACGAATGAAGAGCGGAAACACGGCTACGGGCGGCACCCTTTCCATCCCCACCGACGTACCCAGGGAAGGATGTGCAGCTGCTGACCCGCCTCTTCATCGGAGGGAATGGCGAGAGAATTGGTGATGACATGGCGGCCCGTGATGAGCTCAAGCATGAGAATGCCAAAGCTGCACACCACGATGCCCCGTGGACAGGTGAGGAGTGGAGTGGAGAGGAGAGGAGAGGAGAGGAGAGGAGAGGAGAGGAGAGGAGAGGAGAGAAAAGCATGAGAGGCACCCAACAGCAGAAGAAACCAGCTGGAGAAATCAATGGGTCATTCAAAGGTCACCTGTAGACATCAGTGGCGGTGGTGGCCTTATTGGACGCGGCATAAGAGGGATCCACATAGCCCGGTGTTCCCACCACACGAGTACTCTGCAGTGATGTGCCCCCTCCCTTCCTCACAAGCCCAAAGTCTGAGACCTTAGCCTGATCTCATGCATTGAAGACAATGGATATGGGAAGAAATGGATGGACAGTGAGTTCTACTGGAATCAAGTATCTTCGCGTGCTCTCTCTTCGCGTGCTCTCTCTTCGCGTGCTCTCTCTTTGCGTGCTCTCTCTTCGCGTGCTCTCTCTTAGCGTGCTCTCTTCGCGTGCTCTCTTAGCATGCTCTCTTAGCATGGATGTCTCTTAGCGTGCTCTCACACATCGAGTACATGAGGCGCACACATGGGCCGCCCATGTGTGCATGCCCGTTCGTAGTAGTGCAGGCACGCACGAGCCTGGCTGCCTTCCTGCACCACGTGCCTGCATGTGCTCATCCAGCAGGATGTTCGCAGGCCACCCATGTGTGCATGCCCGTTTATGGTAGTGCATTTGGCATGAGTCTAGCTGCGCGCCTGCCCGGTCGAGCCCCACTTGCCCACATGGTCTGGTCGAGCAGGATGTGTGCATCACAAACAGGCCCATGTGTACATGCCAGTTTAAGAGAGCATGTGGCATGGCATTCGCTGCAACAATAGTGGTGGCGACACAGCCCTGCACGCCTGCAGCTCTTGCCTGCATGTTTTGGTCGAGCCCCACTTGCCTGCATGGTTTGATCCAGCAGGATGTTGGCGGGCATTTGAGTCGACTCAGAAGTCAACTTGCCTGCATGGTTTGTTCGAGCCCCACTTGCCTGTATGTTTTGATCGAGCAGGATGTTGGCGGGCTTGATATCGCGGTGAAAGATGCCGAAGCTGTGGAGATACTCAAAGCCGCGTGCCGCCCCCACCAGCACGCCCACCCGCTGCTCAAAGCTCAGCGACTTGGTAGCCTCTGCAAGGCAGTTCGGATGGGAACAGAGCGGTGGAGAAGGGAGACCTTTGGAAGTAAGAAAGGGGGCCTGCATGAAGAGGTATACCTGCACGACCAACTGGATGTGGACCCCTGAACTCGAACAGAACTTTCGTTCCTAAAACAGATTTAGAGCACCACACGTGCACTGTTATAATACACACCTTCTCCGATCCATTTCGAGAGGTCCCTGTTGGGCATGAGCTCGTAAATGAGGACTTGCTCGACTTTCTTCTTGTCAGTAATCCCAAGAGAGAAGCCGAGCAGTCGAACGAGATTGGGATGGTGCTTCGTTGCCATCTCACACACCTGCCACGCATGACGGTGGGTCCAAACACGCACGCACGCACGCACACACGCACACACGCAGACACGCATGGAAGAAACAACAACCACGGACGGTCGGATGGGCCATGGCCATGGCTGATTTCACATTGGTTACTGTGAGATTTTGAAACTGGCATGTCACGATCACCTCGCAATCAACGGTAGGATGAAGCTGGGATCGATGGGATTGCAAGAGTAAAAAGGCTATCTTTGACCTACGGCCATCGTTGTTCTGTCTTGGGGCATAATACAGCACAACAAAGAGGTCCACACCTCAGGCCACCACGCGAATCCACATCACATGCCACACACTCTCACACACCATGCCATGCCACACACTCTCACACACCATGCCATGCCACACACTCTCACACACCATGCCATGCCACACACTCTCACACACCATGCCATGCCACACACTCTCACACACCATGCCATGCCACACACTCTCACACACCATGCCAGGCCACACACTCTCACACACCATGCCATGCCACACTCTCTCACACACCATGCCATGCCACACACTCTCACACGCCATGCCATGCCACACACTCTCACACACCATGCCATGCCACACTCTCACACACCATGCCATGCCACACTCTCTCACACACCATGCCATGCCACACACTCTCACACACCATGCCATGCCACACACTCTCACATACCATGCCATGCCACACACTCTCACACATCATGCCATGCCACACACTCTCACACACCATGCCATGCCACACACTCTCACACACCATGCCATGCCACACACTCTCACACACCATGCCATGCCACACACTCTCACACACCATGCCATGCCACACACTCTCACACACCATGCCATGCCACACTCTCTCACACACCATGCCATGCCACACACTCTCACACACCATGCCATGCCACACACTCTCACACACCATGCCATGCCACACACTCTCACACACCATGCCATGCCACACACTCTCACACACCATGCCATGCCACACACTCTCACACACCATGCCATGCCACACTCTCTCACACACCATGCCATGCCACACACTCTCACACGCCATGCCATGCCACACACTCTCACACACCATGCCATGCCACACTCTCTCACACACCATGCCATGCCACACTCTCTCACACACCATGCCATGCCACACTCTCTCACACACCATGCCATGCCACACAACATCGCATCTCAGCACGGTGGCACACCCCAGCGTTGAAGTAATTGGTGATGATTTTGGCTCGCTGAACACCATATCACATCATATCACATCATATCACATCATATCACATCATATCACATCATATCACATCATATCACATCATATCACATCATATCACATCATATCACACCACATCCCATCGCATCGCATCGCACCGCACACCGCACCGCACAACACCGCACCGCACAGCACCGCACCGCACAGCACCGCACCGCACCGCATTGCATCGCATCGCATCCCATCGCATCCCATCACATCCCATCACATCACATCACAACGCATCGCAGCAGCACAGAAAAGCACAGCAGGGCACAAACAGGCACAGTGACACACCTCCGTATCAAGGTTGTTGGTTGGTGATGATCCTGGCTCGTGTTATACCAAATCGCATCACACCACACCACACTACGTCACACCACATCACATAACGCTTACACACCTCAGTGTCAAATTCGTTGGTGATAATCCTAGCTCGCTTCACGGCCCACGGCGTGCTCCCATCGGTGGGAGAGACGGCACGGTACACATCACCAAAGGCCCCCGCGCCCAGCAGGTTGGCCTCAGACCATCCGTTGGTTGCCTTCACCACCGCCGCCAGTGAATACTCCTGACACACCTGCGCTGCCGCCTTGCTGCTCACCAGCGCTGCAGGGAGGAGCAGATGGCGAACAGAGGATTCAAATTGAAGTGAATATAGTAGATGTTTATATTGAGCACCCATCCCAAAGTGAAAAGTGTGAGAAACCAGCTCAGGAAGCACATGCTCCTGGCATGGCTGGAAGGCCGCTTTGGTGAGAGCGAGAGAGAAAAGCTGCAGTGAAACCTTTACCCATATACCTGCATGTCTGTATGTATCGCTGACTCAATAAGAAGGACCGTTTGAGAGAAAGGGGTGTGAGAGGAAGCGATGAGGGATAAGCGGATGCAGAGCATGGCGACTGGAAGTGGAGTAACGGAGGTATCTAGCTAGCAATGCAATCACTCTGGCAATCCAGTAATCCGATACTGAAGCGGCCACACGATTCATCGTGCCGTGCCACGGAAGCAAAAGCAGCGTGAGGAGAAGCGAAGTGTGAGGAGGTACTGTACGGTATGCACGTTTGTCGAAACGGTGGAAGTAGAGGAGCGTAGCAAGCGCCACAGTGACAACAACACCCGCCACGATTCCTGCGATGACGGCCGGGGGCAGTGGCTTGCGCTTGCCACCTGCAAATGGAATAGGGGATTCGAACATACTTCATACTTCATTTACAAGTAGAAAACATGTCTCAGCGGAGCAGCTCGGTGCACAGTACAGCAGCAGATTCTCAAGAGGCGAGTGAAGCACCAAGAGGGCACGGATTGGCAGCTCAAAAGCTCGTGCTTGGATGGAAACACCTCTCCCCTCGTATCCCATCCCTTCCCTCAAGAGCAGAGCTTACAAGTGGTGCAGAAGTCAGGGCAGGGCAGGTGCGGCAGAAGCCAGAGGATGTATCCTGCAGCACACCGCAGCTGCTGTAGCTGTCAGGGCACGTGAGACCGCTGGTGTTGGTGTCTCTGGGTATACCAAGCCAAGGAGGGAGTGAATGAAGAAGGGGGATCACAGAGAAAATGAGAAGGGGGATCGCCCCTGCACTCCTCTACCCACACTCCTCTGCCTGCACTCCTCTGTCTGCACTCCTCTGTCTGCACTCCTCTGCCTGCACTCCTCTGCTCCGCTCGTTCTCCATTGCAGGCCATTGCATGTGGAGGGGTGTTTACAAGCTCACAGGCCTTCCCTCCCTTCCAGCTTCTCTCCATCCAAGGCATATTCACCAAGCTTTAACTCTTGCTGTTTTCCTGGAAGACGAAGTGGTTCAGCCCATGGTTCCTCTTCTCGTTGTGCATAATTGTCCTTGGCTGTCCTCTTTAGAGGATGGTTGAAGTACTTTTAGCTCGTTAGCTCGCTGCTGCTAGACCAGTGAATGAAGTACTTTTATTCCTATTACTTACAAAGTTGACAGATGGTGTAACTTTCCAAGGACTGGGGGGATGGTTCCTTCCATATAGTTGGCCGCGACGCTACTGCATGCATGGAATGCAGAAGCAAGGCAGATGGTGACAACGAGCGAGGGAAAGAGGTTGACTTTTGAGGCGCCTCAAAAGTCGTATTCTGTGTTATGGAATGCAGAAGAAAGGCAGATAGTCACAACGAGCGAGGGAAAGAGGTTGTGGAGATTAGAGAGACTTGGAGAGAATGGATGGGAGTAAGATATGCCGGCTGGATGCTTCACTACGAGAAGGTACTCAGTGTGCACGAACATTAGAGATTCAGAGACACCAAGCGTGATGGCACATGGAATGGAAGGGGGCATGGGCCACACCACACAACCACGTCCCATCACAGTAGCGGTTGAATATGCACGGCACCACGTGCACGCGCATGCATGGCATACAAACACACGCACAATATGGTTGCACAGTACGTGTGCATACATGCATTGTGAAATCAGAGCGCATGCCTGGAGGGAAGAGAAACGATGGACGGAGGTACAAGTGTAGATATAACACTCACAGGCTGACCAGGTTAGTCATGGTGGTGAGTGACTCAGGCAAGCTGCCAGTCAGTCTGTTGTTGGAAAGATTCCTGATGGTGCATGCATGCCATTAGAGGGGGGCATGGAGCATGAGAGGGGGGCATGGAGCATGAGAGGCGTGCGTAGACAGCAGGAGCAGGAGAGGCTCCACGAGTGGGGAATCATTGAAAGGGGAGCCCGCATGCCCATGTGCTAATCTGCGTACACAGAACCGGGGGCAGGTGCAATGGCAGGTGAGCAAGAGCAGCATAGCAAAGCATGCATCAATTGCACATACATGAATTGCACATACATGAATTGCACATACATGCATTGCACATACATGCATTGCAGATACATGAATTGCACATACATGCATTGCAGATACATGAATTGCATATACATGCATTGCAGATACATGAATTGCACATACATGCATTGCAGATACATGAATTGCACATACATGAATTGCACATACATGCATTGCACATACATGAATTGCACATACATGAATTGCACATACATGCATTGCACATACATGCATTGCACATACATGCATTGCACATACATGCATTGCACATACATGCATTGCACATACATGCATTGCACATACATGCATTGTACATACATGCATTGCACATACATGCATTGCACATACATGCATTGCACATACATGAATGAATCGCACATACATGCATTGCACATACATGCATTGCACATACATGAATGAATCGCACATACATGCATTGCACATACATGAATGAATCGCACATACATGCATTGCACATACATGAATGAATCGCACATACATGCATTGCAAGGGAGGCAGTGTCTAATCTCAGAAATTGCAGCACGCACAAGAATTGCAAGGAGGGCAGGCTAACGACTTGTAGCACTCGGTTGTCATTCAACTGGTTTGATGAGAAATCCCTGTTGATTCATGCCCACCCCGCCATGCATGTGCCACAAGAATGCAAAACCATACACACACATGCACGCACACACACACATACACACATACACACATACACACGGATACACACATACACACATACACACATATACACACATACACACATACACACACACACATACAAACACCCACACATGCACGGACGCACACGCATGCACATGAGCATTCATCACACATGCACGCACGCAAACGCACATGCACGCACCCACATGCGCACAAACATGCACGCGCGCACACGCACGCGCACATGCACGCACACACATGCACATGAATGCTCGCACGCACTTGCACGCACACACACACACACGCACCAACACACACACACACATGCACAGACACACACACGCACATGAATGCTCGCACGCACACGCACGCACCCACACGCACACGCACGCAAGCACACACACACACAAACACACACACCCCACAACCACACACACACACACGCACACACCACACACACACACAAACACACACACACAACGGACAAATGCTCACACACACAAGAAGCGGGAAAAAAATGTTGAAACGCTTAGATTCGTGTCATGTGGTGCAGCAGTTGAAACGCTTTTGAAGGGATTGGGGATGCAGCTCGGCAGCAATTTGGGATGCAGCTTGGCAGCGATTTAAGATGCAGCTTGTGAGAGTGGAGAATGGAATACTGTGGACTGACATGGTGATGGTGATGGTGATGGTGATGGTGATGGTGATGGTGATGGTGATGGTGATGGTGATGGTGATGGTGATGGTGATGGTGATGGTGATGGTGATGGTGATGGTGATGGTGATGGTGATGGGGATGGGGATGGTGATGGGGATGGTGATGGTGATGGTGATGGTGATGGTGATGGTGATGGTGATGGTGATGGTGATGGTGATGGTGATGGTGATGGTGATGGTGATGGTGATGGTGATGGTGATGGTGATGGTGATGGTGATGGTGATGGTGATGGTGATGGTGATGGTGATGGGGATGGGGATGGGGATGGTGATGGTGATGGTGATGGTGATGGTGATGGTGATGGTGATGGTGATGGTGATGGTGATGGTGATGGTGATGGTGATGGTGATGGTGATGGTAATGGTGATGGTGATGGTGATGGTGATGGTGATGGTGATGGTGATGGTGATGGTGATGGTGATGGGGATGGGGATGGTGATGGGGATGGTGATGGCAGAAGAACGACTCATGAGTAATGAATACTGATCACACTTGAGTGAAACTCATTTGGGAGATGTCACTTGGATTGGATGTAACAACACTGGCAATAAATTGAGAAAGCGCTCAAAAGGGCATTCCTTGAGGCTCGAATGCGTGCTTCTTCCTTATTCACCATGAGATGCACAACGCAGGTCATTATTCACTCACCGCACACACACGGTGGGGCTGGGATACTGGGATAAACACGTGATGACATGATACAGCAGGCCAGGGCACACAGGTGAGTGGCGTACAGTTTCACAAGCCTGGTGAGTTCGCTGCTCATCACCCTATTCTTCATATACACGATGCCGTTTGATGGAAGCTCTCTGCACAGAAGGACGGCGACAGATTGATCAGGGGTGAAAACACAAGCAGAATCAGGCAGTCAGTTTTGAGGCACCTCAAACTCAAAGGGAGGAGTGCAGCGGGTTTGTCAGGGCTGAGTACACAAGCAGAAGCAGTGGTGCCGGGGTGCAAGGAACCACTGACGGGGAGCCGCGAAAGGGAGGAGTGCAGGGAGGGAGCGAGAAGCGAGTGATTTGTTCCCACAGGTGTGGAGAACGGGTGTGGGGAACGGGCGCGGGGAACGGGCGCAGGGACCAGGCGCGCGCGAAGAACGGGTGTGGGGAACGGGTGTGGGGAACGGGTGTGGGGAACGGGTGTGGGGAACGGGTGTGGGGAACGGGTGTGGGGAACGGGTGTGGGGAACGGGTGCGGGGAACGGGCGTTGGGAACGGGTGCGGGAAACGGGCGTGGGGAACGGGTGTGGGGAACGGGCGTGGGGAACGGGTGTGGGGAACGGGCGTGGGGAAGGGGTGTGGGAAACAGGCGTGAGGAACGGGTGTGGGGAACGGGTGCGGGGAACGGGCGTTGGGAACGGGTGCGGGAAACGGGCGTGGGGAATGGGTGTGGGGAACGGGCGTGGGGAACGGGTGTGGGGAACGGGCGTGGGGAAGGGGTGTGGGAAACAGGCGTGAGGAACGGGTGTGGGGAACGGGTGCGGGGCTCACAGTTCCATAAGATTGGTGAGCCGGAGCAGCCTGTAATGATCATTCTTAAACCGACAGTTGCTTAGTCTCCTGTGTGTCATGTCATGCAGCACAACAGAAAGGGCATTTCACATGGAAGAACAGCACATGAAGCAATGTCATACAATGCCATGCAATGCCGTGCAATGCCATGCAATGCCGTGCAATGCCATGCAATGCCATGCAATGCCATGCAATGCCATGCAATGCCGTGCAATGCCATGCAATGCCATGCAATGCCATGCAATGCCATGCAATGCCATGCAATGCCATGCAATGCCATGACATTCCATACCACGCATAACTGTGCCACCCAGTGTGATTCCGTGTCATACCATGATAACTGTGGTATTCTTCTAAACTGTGCGATTGTGGGAGTGGGCCTCACTCACAATGCCAATCATGTGCCTCACTCGCAAAAAGGTAGATACCCACACGTGCTTACAGCCTAGTGAGCTCTGTGAGCTTGGTCACTTCTTCGGAGAGTTTGGAAGGAGTGTACGACTCGCAGTCCACTGCCCTGCAAAAACAAATGCACCGGGAAAACCAGATGCGTCAGGAAAACCAGATGCGTCAGGCAAATCAGCGGATCGACCTTCCTTCGTGTTGCGGATCGACCTTCATCCGACACTCAAAGCCAGCAAATGGGCCTTCGCAGTTCTAGGGGGGACTCACAGGGACTTGAGCCAGGTCATGCTGTAGAGGGCCCCCTGTGGGATGTTGGGCACTTGTAACAACTCCCTGTGTGTGTCACATGCGGGGAACAACAGGGAGGGAAGGAATGCATTTACGGGGTCACACACACAGTAGAGAGCTCGATGAGGTGAGGTGAGCCAGTGAGTGCGTTTCTCAAACGAAGAGCCAAGATGGGCAGGTGTGCACTCACGAGGAACCATCCATGATCGTGGTGATGGTGATGGCGATGGCGATGGCGATGGTGATGGTGATGGTGATGGCGATGGTGATGGTGATGGCGATGGTGATGGTGATGGTGATGGCGATGGCGATGGCGATGGTGATGGTGATGGTGATGGCGATGGCGATGGCGATGGCGATGGCGATGGTGATGGTGATGGCGATGGCGATGGCGATGGCGATGGCGATGGCGATGGCGATGGCGATGGCGATGGCGATGGCGATGGCGATGGTGATGGTGATGGTGATGGTGATGGTGATGGTGATGGTGATGGTTTCAATGAGGCACGGAGGAGCATAGTTGTTAATGGAAAGGGTGAAAGCACAACTTGGAAGCTCAGAATCTACTTGGCATGGCAGTGACCCCCTTCTTACTCCCACACACACGCACTCATGCACACACGCGCACACACACACACACACACACACACACACACACACACAACTCGACAGTCTTTTCGTTCAACACTATGCATCCCATCCAACTGCCCAAGCCAAGAGCAGCGTGAGAGTGCAGCGCACAGGAGCAACCCGTGTGTGTGCACGACGGCAGGGGCGTGCGTACAGCTGGGTGAGGCGCGACAGCCCGGTGACAGCGGACCACACAGTCAACTTCTTCACGTGCCTGCGCACCGCACCGCACACACAGGACGGATGGGCGTTTGAGGGAGGGGGGATGGCCGTATAAGCGGCGATGGCGGTTTGCGGGGGAGGGGGGGGGGAAGGGAGGGAGGGAGGGCGGTGGGAGTCTGTGGGGGAAGTGCGCATTTGCTGGTGGGACACGTGTTTGTGTTCTGTGGGATGGACCCGACCCGACTCATAAATGGCCGTCTGGGCGTCTGGGCGTCGCTACAAAACGAAGAGCAATGGGGGCCCGCCCGCCCTGCCTGAATGGAGTCAAGTGCGGCCACGAGAGGAACAGGTCCTTGCGAGCGATAACAAGCGGGAATCTAAGTGTCTGCGGACTACAGAGCGGCTGTGAGTGAGTGAGAGAGTGAGTGAGTGAGCTTGGCTTGAATCGGGCCTGGGAAGCATGCAGGTTGAGATGGAGCTAATGTGTGTTGAAGCTTGGTGGGGAAATGTGGGAAGGTTTACAGTGATAGCAGCTAGCAATGTGTATGGCACGGTGCGGTGGTGGTGCGGTGCGGCACAGATGGCACGATAGGACACAACAGGGCGCGGACGCACATGGAGGTGATCATGCCGTTTGAGTCGCATGTGAGGCCTTGCGCTTCCTTGCAGTCGCTCCCCGCCTTCCAGCCTGTAAAGTTTGCTTCCCGATACTCAAGCTCTGAGTACCAAGGCTGCTGCAGCTCCTGTAGCACAACACCTGCCGTGCAATTGGCAACAGCAACAGCAACAGCAACGGCAACGGCAACGGCAACGGCAACGGTGAAAACGAGGGGGGAAAGGCTGTAAGGGAGCGTTGGAGATGACTAGTGCAGGGCAGTGTAGGTATGGTGGGCAGGGGGGGGGGGAGGATGACGAAGCGCAGGACTTGTATCCACAAGAAGAAAGCAAGGACGTGGAAGTAGGGGCCTTTGATATCTCTGATCACCAAATATCACCATCGTGACACCTCACACACAGAGAATTTCGTTGGCGGCTGGCCAGCCGGGGCTGGCTGGCTGGCTGGCCGGCTGGCTGGCCGGCTGGCTGGCTGGCTGGCTGGCTGGCTGGTTCTCGCCCTCAGCGTCAGTAAAAAAATTATCTCTACACACGAAATTACACAGCAAGCACGGCCATGATCCCACCGTGCAAGCCGGCTGAGGTGGTGCAATCTCAAGCGCGGTGCGTGTGATTGCGCACATTGGGTTACCAACGCAACTTGCGACCAACGCACCTTGCGAGTCCGCGATGGGCTGTGCGAGCGACGTGCACGGCAGGCAGCAGCATGCGAGCGCCGCGACGAGCGCCAAGAGACCGCGACGGGAGCCGCGATACGTCGCCATGGCCGGCAGCTTCAGGCGTCCGGTTGACTGCGACAGCTTCATGGCTGGTGGTCTTTTCTCAATCTACCGTCGTTCGGCACCCACCAGCCTGCTTGTCAGATTTCTAGATATACCACCACGTAGCAATCGGACGGACTGCCGAAAACGGTACGTGGAGAATCTGCCGCGCGTCGCGCCGAGCCCGAATTTGTCCCGTTATCTCTGCCACGTGTCCTCCGCGATGTGCGCAGCTCGCTTCTCACTTATTACTATCAAGACGCGAAGGGCGAGGTGGATGCGTGTTAAACTCTTGGTGGCGAATGCGGGGCTTTTCAAGGCTTCTCAGCGCGAACTCCTGCGTACGTAGTGGGCCTTCTAGAGTGAGAATAGCAACACGAATCCGGTGACGCGCATTGATATCGGTTCCGAGATAATACTGCGGTTGATACGCAATATTTTTCGGCAAGGACGGCACGGGGTAGCATTCCGCCTTGCCTGGCCAGCTCGTTCACGGAAACTGGAAGGGGACGGAGGAGGGAACACCAGAGAGCAGAGCAGAGCAGGACTGGATGGTCGTAGCGAGAACGCAGACTACGGCGGGAAGAAGGCAACGTGTCGTGTCTACGCATTCTGATTTCGGCCACTGCACCTGCTGCCATTATTGCTTTACGCGAAGCTTGGAAGTAGCTCTCATCACTCTGGATCCTTGAAGTCAGCATTATTGGTGGTGTTCTCTAGGCACTGGAGGAGGGGGAGCGAGGGGAAATAGGAATCTTCAGCTCTCTGCGTTTTTGGCTCGACACGTCGGTCAGCCCGTAAAACCAGGCCGAGCCACCAATTTGCCCTCCGAACCAAAACGAAGGTAAATGCCAACAGAACGCTCATTTACCCTCAGGGATGTGCACCCCTTGGAAGCTGCACATTCACCCTCCCCACCTTCCTCCTCAGGCAAATTTTGCCTCCCTCGCACCCCATTCCGGCAACCACTCTTCACGGGGATGTGGGACGGATGTAAGGGAGGAGCTCGGGGAGGGAACACCCATCGGAGCCTTCCCCTCCCCGCGTCCGAAACTTCCCATCCTCGGCTGTAGCGGGAGGTGGTGAAATCGGGCTAGGAAACACCCTCGGAACCATCATCATTTACATTCACTCCCCCTCCTCCCCCCCTCCCAGGAGTCACCAGAACACTACCATTGAGCCCAGCGCACATGTGCCGTGCCGTGTCCTTCCCACCACAATTATACAATTGGAGTTTCTCGATACTGGTTTGGTTACGACGGAATGGTAATGTTATATTGTGGTTGTAACCATCTTACAATCATACATAGACTCCCGGAGCAAATGCCATAACGTTAGCTAACTATCCGCATCACAACCCATCTGGACTGGGAGGCGCTCTATGTCGGGTGGCGCATGGAAGTTAAAGGGGTCAAAAGAGGGTTTTTTACAAGGAGCCAAGAGGAGTGAAGATTGGGGAAAATAAAATATGTGCCATTCTACACTGAAGCTGACTTTTCCACCCCAAACATTAAAAGTTGACAACTTTTGGACACTGAACTATCAGAAAGAGGTGTCTTTTCTATTACAATCCCACAAGAAACTTATCCAGGATCAACCTCAGTGTCAAATGTTGTTGTTTGTTGTAGGCAACAGTGGGGTGCTTTTTAGTGAGTACAATAGTATTAAGGTTTTCTATTTGTACCCATTGCTTTGCTAATCACAAACATTTCCGTTGCACTCCGTTCTTGAGATGGTATCATGAGTAGGATAGATCCTCGCCTAGCCTAGCCCCGATCGCGCCCTAGCGCCCTCCGCACCCTAGCGCCCTCCGTGACGTCCGCACTCCGCGCCCTCAGCGCCTCCGCACCCTCCGCGTGCAGCCCGCGCCCTCCCCCCACGTGCGCACCCTCCTTAGCCCGACGCGCGCCCCTCGGCCTGCCAGTCGCGTGCGCCTAGGCCAGCCCATAGTGCGCGCCCTAGGCCAGCCCGTCGCGTACGCCTAGGCCAGCCCGTCCCGCGCCCCTAGGCCAGCCCGACACGCGCGACCCCTCCCTCGGCGCCTAGCCTTCCGTGCCTCCGCGCTGTCCGCGCCCTCCACGCCATCCGCGCCCTCCGTGCCAGACGCGCCCTCCGCGCCTTACCCGCGCCTCCGCCCGTGCACGCGCCCTCCCATTCGCCCGCGCCCTGCCTTAGCCCGCGCCCTCCGTCTCAGCCCCAGCCCTTAGCCTGTGCCTCCCCTTCGACCCGTGCGCACCCACCCGCACTTGGCACTCGACCCTTTCCCCACCACCGCCCTGTTCGTTGGGCCCTAACCATTCCTACTGCCATTGGTCTCTAGTTCAGCGACTGGCAGCCGCTTCTCTCGCCGCCCGCCTAGGCTAGAGCCGTGTAGTCACTAGCTCCTCGCCTCTATCGCTCATATCTGGAGTTCCTCACCAGTTCACGCCTAGCCTAGGTCACTCCGTGCTCCTAGCCACTAGCTCCGCCGGCCTCTTTCCTGGCCACACCTGGCGCTCCTCAATTTCCCTCCTTGTTCCTAGCTCCGACTCCTCCGTGCTCCAGCCGCCTCTAGCCTAGCCTCCAGCATGGAGTCCCGCCGCCTTCGTTTCGATGCGGAGGGCCGCCCGATCGAGTTCGGCACCTCGCAGCGCCAGGCCACGCGCTACCTCACTAGTCAGCGTCAGGACGGCGCCACCCTGTGGTGCCCTCAAGGCGCCCCTGTCTCCCGACCCCCTCCCGACCGACCCGGAGCCGACTCCTGCAGCGCAGGCGGACTACGACTGTCGTGTCTTGGCGAGGGACGTGTGGGACTCTCGCGACGGCGCCACTACTCTTGCGCTGACGGAGCTCCTCCCACCGACTGAGGCAGTCCACTTTGCCCAGATGGAGACTGCACATGGGATTTGGGATGCTGTTGTTGCGCGCTATTCCACCCCTTCCTCTGTCTCCCTCAATCGCCTCCTCATGCCGTTCGTGTCTCCCGACCTTGGCTCGTTTGCGACTGTGTCCGACCTCGTGACTCACCTGCGTTCACTTGACGCCGGTTTCCGTGCGGCCTGCACCGATGCCTAGCTTCTTGTTGCACCCCTCCCCATGTGGCACACTGTGCACTGGTTAGTCACACGCCTCCTTGACCGCCTCGCTACTGCTCGCGACGTGCTTCTGGAGAAGCACCCCACAGAGCTTACTATCGATCCCCTTGAGACCGCTCTCGGGAAGATCGAGAGTAACCTCATCTCCGTTGCCTCCGCCACTGACGCAGTGCCCCCCCGTCTTTTTGCGGGGTGTGCCGCCCCTCAGCTTCCCACTTTCACTGCTACACGCGCTTCTGCTGCTGTGTCGGTTTCTGAGGACACTGCAGGCAAACAAGTGGGGGCGTGGTCATGGAGTGCAGTGACCTTCAGAGAGGCATGGCAGTGAGTGAGGAGAAGAATGAAGCGGAGTGCTTGCCTCAGCCTCATGTCCGCTTCATTCTTCTCCCTGCTTCATTTGGAATTGTTGGAAGCACTGCCTGTTAAACTCTTGAATCAAATTGCCTTGCATTGACGCCATGTCTGTTCTTTAGGCGCCCACAAAAAAAAAAAAAAACGCCATGTCCAAGTGCATCAACAGAGGAGGCAGGTCCCTCCCTCCATGCATGATGTGCGCGCCTAGGGTAAGGAGTGATGTAGCGGAATGGAATGGAATGGAATGGAATGGAGTGGAGTGGACTAACAGAGTGGTGAGGCCGGAGAGACGAGCCAGGTGCATGAGGCTGTCGGGCTCGTGTGGGTTGGCGCTCAGATTCCTGCCGTGCCACGGTCGTAGGGCCGTGCAGCACGTGTGCGTGTGGGATGGGTGGGATGGGTGGGATGGGTTGGAATGGGAAAGGCTTTTGAAGGGACGCACAGGCAAATCATGGCAGTGATTGGGGATGCGACATTGCGACTTGCGAACGTGGGCAATGGAATGACGTGGATTTACATGGTGGTGATGACGATGGTGGTGATGACGATGGTGGTGATGACGATGGTGGTGATGATGATGGTGGTGATGACGATGGTGGTGATGACGATGGTGGTGATGACGATGGTGATGATGACGATGGTGGTGATGACGATGGTGGTGATGACGATGGTGGTGATGACGATGGTGGTGATGACGATGGTGGTGATGACGATGGTGGTGATGACGATGGTGGTGATGACGATGGTGGTGATGACGATGGTGGTGATGACGATGGTGGTGATGACGATGGTGGTGATGACGATGGTGGTGATGACGATGGTGGTGATGACGATGGTGGTGATGACGATGGTGGTGATGACGATGGTGGTGATGACGATGGTGGTGATGACGATGGTGGTGATGACGATGGTGGTGATGACGATGGTGGTGATGACGATGGTGGTGATGACGATGGTGGTGATGACGATGGTGGTGATGACGATGGTGGTGATGACGATGGTGGTGATGACGATGGTGGTGATGACGATGGTGGTGATGACGATGGTGGTGATGACGATGGTGGTGATGACGATGGTGGTGATGACGATGGTGGTGATGACGATGGTGGTGATGACGATGGTGGTGATGACGATGGTGGTGATGACGATGGTGGTGATGACGATGGTGGTGATGACGATGGTGGTGATGACGATGGTGGTGATGACGATGGTGGTGATGACGATGGTGGTGATGACGATGGTGGTGATGACGATGGTGGTGATGACGATGGTGGTGATGACGATGGTGGTGATGACGATGGTGGTGATGACGATGGTGGTGATGACGATGGTGGTGATGACGATGGTGGTGATGACGATGGTGGTGATGACGATGGTGGTGATGACGATGGTGGTGATGACGATGGTGGTGATGACGATGGTGGTGATGACGATGGTGGTGATGACGATGGTGGTGATGACTATGGTGGTGATGACGATGGTGGTGATGACGATGGTGGTGATGACGATGGTGGTGATGACGATGGTGGTGATGACTATGGTGGTGATGACGATGGTGGTGATGACGATGGTGGTGATGACGATGGTGGTGATGACGATGGTGGTGATGACTATGGTGGTGATGACGATGGTGGTGATGACGATGGTGGTGATGACGATGGTGGTGATGACGATGGTGGTGATGACGATGGTGGTGATGACGATGGTGGTGATGACGATGGTGGTGATGACGATGGTGGTGATGACGATGGTGGTGATGACGATGGTGGTGATGACTATGGTGGTGATGACTATGGTGGTGATGACGATGGTGGTGATGACTATGGTGGTGATGACTATGGTGGTGATGACGATGGTGGTGATGACGATGGTGGTGATGACGATGGTGGTGATGACGATGGTGGTGATGACGATGGTGGTGATGACGATGGTGGTGATGACTATGGTGGTGATGACTATGGTGGTGATGACTATGGTGGTGATGACTATGGTGGTGATGACTATGGTGGTGATGACTATGGTGGTGATGACTATGGTGGTGATGACGATGGTGGTGATGACGATGGTGGTGATGACGATGGTGGTGATGACGATGGTGGTGATGACTATGGTGGTGATGACTATGGTGGTGATGACTATGGTGGTGATGACTATGGTGGTGATGACTATGGTGGTGATGACTATGGTGGTGATGACGATGGTGGTGATGACTATGGTGGTGATGACTATGGTGGTGATGACTATGGCAACAAGAAGCCTTTTGAATGAAGATACTCAGCGTGCTTGAGTGGAACTCATTTGCAAATGAGACACCACCACCACAAGGATGTAACACCACTGGCATGATTGAGACAACGCTTAAAGAGATTCCATAGCGCTCAAGTGCACAGCTCTTCCTCATTTGCTTGCCACACAAAGATCTGACTTTTTGAGATGACTCAAGAACCATAGCGATCGAATGCATACATCCTCCTCATTTGCCACACGAAGACACAGCAGCAGGGCAGGCAGGGCACATGACAGGAGAATGGCGCACAGTTTTGCGAGTGTGGGGAAGTTGCTGTTGGTGACATCCTTAATGGACCATATCAAGTTTATTGGAACCTCTCTGCACAGGCAAAGGGCGCCGAGATTGTCATGTCAGGGGTGAGTGGTGATGAGTACACAAGCGGAAGCAGGCAGTAAGTGGTGTTCTTGAAAGGTCTCAAAACTACACCAATGTAAACAAGCAAAAGCAGGTACGTTGGTGTAGTTTTAGAAGGAATTCAAGGGGTGCAAGGAACCACCGACGGGGGGGCGAGAAAGGGAGGAGTGCAGGGAAGGAGAGCGGAAGGAGGATACGAGTTAAGGGGAGCAGATAGATACGAGCACACAGATGCAGGTGCATTGCATGCACGGACGGAGTTATGAGGACGGTTGCTGCAAGCTTCTAAGAATCTGGAGAAAACGGGCTTAGGGATAATGAGTGAGGGGAACGGGATCAGGAAGAGCGGGTGTGGGAAACGGTTGTGTGGGGAAGTGGTGTGGGGTGGGGCTCACAGTTCCGAAAGGTTGGAGAGCCGAGTCAACCTGCCAAGGTCATCACCAAAACCACAGTTGCTGATTCTCCTGTGGGTCATGCAGCACATTGCGCAACGGCAGAAGAGAAGACGCGTTTCAACACAGACGAACAGAACATGAGGCAACGTGTCATGCAATGTCACGCAACGCAACGCCACGCGATGCCATTCCATACCAGGCATTTATTATTGTGCCATTGCAATGTTAATCCGTATCATGCCATGCTTCCTGTGTTTTTTGGTTCTGACGTGGGTGTGTCACGCACATCACAATGATCATCATGTCATGTGCAATGAGACACAACAAACAAGCACATGACATGAAGCATGACCTGACGTGCTTACAGCCTGGTGAGCTGAGTAAAGTTCGCCATCCCATCGGGGATGGCGTAATGCGTGTTTGGCGAGCAGTCCACCGCCCTGGAAAAACAAATGCAGCAGGAGAATCAGCAAATCGACCTTCATTCGTGCTGCCTTCATGTTTCAAAAGTCCCATCACACACGACAGGCTGCATGCAGCCAGCAATCAGGAATTCCCAGCTCTAGGGGGGAACCTTTTTTGAGTCGACTCAAAAATCGCCTCATCAGGAATTCCCAGCTCTAGCGGGGAACCCCATGGGGACTCACAGGGACTTGAGCCACGTGATGTTGTAGACGGACCCCCATGGAAAGTGGTCCACTTGTGAAAACTCCCTGTGTGTGTCACATGCGGAGAGCAGGGAAGGACGAGAGGGGTGGTGATGGTGATACAAACGAGGGATAAGAGACAGACGAGCAATAGCTGGGGACAGGGAGGAGAACGCACATTCTGAATCCACTCGAACCAGACTACCCTTAACGTTGATTATGCTAGACTGGACTACACACCAGGTGACTTTTGAGTCGACTCAAAAGCCACCTCATTATCCTAGACTGGACTACACCAGGTATCGATGGGGAGGAAAGGCACAACGTGCATTCTCAGAATCTACGTAGCATGGCAGCCCCTTTCCACACGCACGCACACGCACACCGTCACACGCACACCCACACACAGACATCCCCCCCCCCCCTCCCCACCACACACACACACACACACACACACACACACACACACACACACACACACAACACACATCCCACACATTTCCGTTAAGCACGTTACGTTCGACTGCCATATGAGAGCGCAGCGCACATGTAACTAACAACCCCCGTCTACCCCGGTGTGCCCCAGGGGCGTACAGCTGGGTGAGGCGCGGCAGCTGAGTGACGGAGGCGGGTCCCCAGTCCCACACTGCAGACGTGTTGACGCGCCTGCGCACATAAGGGATGGGCATGGGCGGTTCGGTTGGAGGGAGGGGGTGTGGGGCCAGTTGAGATGCTAGGAGAAGAGGGAATCCGTTGCGCTTTTGCGGGTGGGACGGGAGTTTGTTTGTGTCATGCGGGAAGAATCGGATCAGACCTACGTATGGCCGTCTGGTCTGGGAAGGGTCAGATCAGACCTACGTATGGCCGTCTGGTCTGGGAAGGGTCAGATCAGACCTACGTATGGCCGTCTGGTCTGGGAAGGGTCAGATCAGACCTACGTATGGCCGTCTGGTCTGGGAAGGGTCAACCTCGTTGCAGAGAGCAACCGGGGCTCCAGGTGGTCATTAGAAGGTCTGACCCTTGGTAGGAATGAATGAAGTCGAGTGACAGCAAGAGAGAAGCAGATCCTTGCGATTACAGCAATCACAAGTTGGAATTGGAGGGCCTGAGGTGAGAGAAAGTAACAGAGCGGCTGTGAGTGCGCTCGGATTGAATCAGGCCCCAGACGCATGCATGCAAGATAGGTTTCAAGCGAGCATTGATTGCAGCTAGCAGTGCGTATGGCACGGCACGGCACGGCACGGTGCAGTGCAGAAAAGAACAGCAGATACGGCACAGCACGGAAGGGCGCGGACGCACATGGAGGTGATCATGCCGTCTGAGTCGCATGTGAGGCCTTGCGCTTGCTGGCAGTCGCTCCCCGCCTGCCAGCCCGTTAAGTTTTTCTTCCAAAACGACTGCAGCTCTTCCAACACAACACCTGCCGGACAGCCAGCAACAGCAACCGTGAACACGACAGGGAAAGGCTGTGAAGGGGTTGGGCTGTGTTGGGCTGTGTTGGGCTGTGCGTAGACTGCTGGTGCAGCGTGGTGAAGGCAGGTGGTGGTGGGCATGGGGAAGGGAGAAGAACCACAGGACAGGGCGTGTTTGCAAAAAGCAAGTACGGACGCGGAAGAATGAGTCTTGTTAATCTTCAATCAGCAGTGATGCTCATCGCAACACCCCCTCATGTGCAGACCCGTTCACAAACAACTGGCCAGCTGGCTGGCTTTCTGGCTGGCTGACAGGCTGACTGACTGACAGGCAGGCCGGCGTGCAAGCCGCATCCCCACCCTGCAAGCCCCACCCTGCAAGCCGGCTGAGGTGGTGATTCTCGATTGGAGGGTTTGATTGTGAACAGCGGAGTATGACGAGAGCGACCAACGCACCTTGCGACTCCGCGATGGGTTGTGCGAGCGACGTGCACGGCAGGCAGCAGCATGCGAGCGCCGCGACGAGCGCCAAGAGACCGCGACGGGAGCCGCGATGCACCGCCATGGCTGGTGGCTTTAGTAGGCGTCCGGTTGAGGCCGACAGGAGCAACGAACAGCAAGCAATAAGCTTGACGGACGTTTTTCAAAATTTGCCTGCGTGTCAGAATTCTAAATTTACCACCACGTAACAGTCGGACGGACGGCCAAAACGGCACGTGGAGAATCTGTCGTGCGTTGCGCCGGAGCTAAAATGCGTCCCGTTATCTCTGCCACGCGGCCTCCGCGATGCGCGCAGCGTACTTCTCAGTTATACACTATCAAGGCGCGAAGAAAGAGGTGGATGCGAATTGAACTCTTGGTAGCGAATGTGGGGCTTTTTGGGAGATTCTCAGAGCGATCTCCTACGTAGTACGTGGGCCTTCTAGAGTCGCCGCGAATGAGTACCAACAGGAATTCGGTGCAGCAATATTATTTCGGTTCGGTTCCGAGATGGTGCTGCGATTGATACGCAATATTTTAACAAGGATGACACCGTCGTGAACGAGGGTTGGTACTCCGCCTTGCCTGGCCTGCTCGTTGACGGAGGGAAGGAGGGATTGAGGGGACAGAGCAGGGAGCACAGCAGAGCAGAGCAGGAGAAGAAGGTTGTAGCGAGAATGCAGACTACGGCGGGAACAAGTCGACGTGCCGTGTTTGCAACGGAATGGCTTTATCTCGGCCACTCCTCCTGCCCGCCATTATTCCTCTCCGCGTCGCCTGAAAGCTCACTTTCTCTGGAACCATGAAGTTGGCATTGAGCCCAACGCTGCTTGGTCGGATCGGATCGGATGCCGTGCCGTGTACTTCCCACAATTATACAATTGCAGTTTGCTGAGGTAAGGGGAAGTCAACAGGACTGCGAGGCGTTTATGTAGGGTTTTCCAAGGAGTTAAGAGGAGTGAATCTGGGATGAATAGATGGAAACAAACTCATTTCCTATAGCTGAGACAAACAATTGCGCCATGCTACACTGCAGCTGACTTCTCCGCCCCAGACAAGAAGTTTACGACTGATAGTTGTATTTTGTGTTGTTGTTCGTTTTATTCTTCTTTTTTTTGGCATTTGGATAATTAGCGCAGTACATTTGAGATATCAGGCCTGGCCAGCACCTGGATTCAACAGCATACATTTGGGGAACTACACACTATCACGCATGCATATTGGGGTCTACACACTATCAGCTCCCCTGAAGCAACGCATTCAGGCGTGCCATTTCTGCATCCAAGCTCGAAGCTGGCATCCTCTGCGATTCCACCTGCAGGTCCACCTGACGGGCGGCAGAGTTGCTACGGGAGCCACCCAGCGCCACCAGCACGGCCTCCAGCTCGGCTGCAATCACCCCCATGGCCGGCCGCATGGCGCTCTGATTGTGGGTGCATCGCAGTGCCAGCTGCACCACCCGCAACACCAACTCATCCCGCGCCTCCATGCGAGGGTCCTTCAGGCCTGCCACCACTGCGTCGTTGCCGCCGTACTGAGCCAGCTGCTGCCGGACCTGGAGCAGAAAGAAAGAAACGAAGGTTTCAGACGTGAGAAGGGATGAAGAGCGGAGACACGGCTACGGCGGCAGGCACCCTTTCTACCGACTTACCCAGGGAAGGATGTGCAGCTGCTGACCCGCCTCTTCATCGGAGGGAACGACGAGAGAATTGGTGGTGACGTGGCGACCTGTCATGAGCTCAAGCATGAGAATGCCAAAGCTGCACACCACGACACCCCGTGGACAGGTGAGGTGAGGAGAGGAGAGGGAAGCATGAGAGGTGCCCAATAGCAGAAAAAAAATCAGCTGGAGAAATCAAATGGTCGTGGCTCACCTGTAGACATCAGTCGCGGTGGTGGCCCTATTAGATGCAGAATAGGAGGGATCCACATAGCCCGGTGTTCCCACCACTCGCGTGCTCTGCACAGCTGTGCCCTCTCCCCTCCTCACCAGCCCAAAGTCTGAGATCTTAGCCTGCGCTTTTACATGGAAGGGCAACGGATATGGATAGGAAAGGGTGACTAGTCAGGTCTATTGCAATCTGATATCTTAACTTGCACACAGGGGCCCATGTGAGCATGGCTGATCGTAAGAGAGAATGTGGCACAAGGTGGGCTGCACTTATTATTTTTAAAGTGCAGCCTTGCTTGCCTGCATGTTGCCGTCAAGGAGGATGTTCGCGGGCTTGATATCGCGGTGCACGATGCCGAAGCTGTGGAGATACTCAAAGCCGCGTGCCGCCCCCACCAGCACGCCCACCCGCTGCTCAAAGCTCAGCGGGGCCACTGCCCCTGCAGGGGCCAGCGCATAGGGATGGCGGGCAGAGGGGATGGGAACGGAGGGGTGGAGAGGGGGGTGCATGGGAGACTTAGGCAAGGAGGGCGGCATGAGGCGTAAGTCAATTAGTTGCACGTTATCTGGAAATGGAAATCAGACAGACCACTGGATGGGCAACTATGTGCAGGCATACTGCAAAGGACAAGTCTAGAATGCACACCTTTCCCGATCCAGTGCGAGAGGTCCCCGTTGGGCATGAGCTCGTAGATGAGGATTTGCTCGACCCTTGTCTTGTCGGTAATCCCGATTGAGAAGCCCAGCAGTCGCACGAGGTTGGGGTGGTGCTTCGTTGCCATCTCACACACCTGCCGGGGGGGGAAAAGGGGCCCAGTACAACACAATATAAGGCACTGCTTCGTTTCCATCTCACCCACCTGCCAGGCCAAAATGTGAAGCCAATAAAAACGATGTTTAATATATTTATCTGACACTGCTTAGCGGCCATCTCACACACCTGCCAGCGATGACGGTGGGCCCAGTAGGACACAGTTTACCTACTCATCTGACACTGCTTTGCAGCCATCTCAAAACAGTTCGACTATTCTATGGCACTGCTGCCTACCAGAATGGTGTGGTAATATGACAGACAAACGTAGCAGGAACAATGGTGAAGCAAGGCGTGATCTACGAGAGGGTGTGATAAAAGAACAATCACCTGGGACACCTGCTAGCGAATACAGCACGCTTGAACGGGCCATGGCCATGTAACGCCTCTAGATTCTACAGCACTGCGCCAGCGCACATCACACCACACCACGCTACACCACATCACATCCCATCACATCACATGACACCCCATCGCATCACATCGCACCACACGGCCACGGTGGCGCACCTCTTTATCAAAGTCGGTGGTGACGACCTTGGCTCGCTTCACGGCCCACGGAGTGGCACCATCGGTGGGAGAGACGGCACGGTACACATCACCAAAGGCCCCCGCGCCCAGCAGGTTGGCCTCGGACCACCCGTTGGTCGCCTTCGCCACCGCATTAAGAGAATATTCCTGACACACCTGTGATGCCGCTTTGCTGCTCACCAGCGCTGTAGGGAGCAAAGGAGGAGGGAGAAGGGGAAGTGAGGGGGAAAGGAGGGCAGAGGAAGGTGATAGGACGTAGCAGAGAAAGGGGTACTTGTCTAATAATAACGAAAAAAAGGTTGTGGGTATCAAACTGCATGCCGACATGGCAGCACCAGCAGACCGAAACCCTGAGTAGGATAGGAGCATGAAACACCGGGCCATGCAAGGCCCGTACAGGGCAGGCAGTGCGAGTGAGAGGCAGTGTGGGTTGGGAAGAAGCGCGGGGTGTGGCACGCACCTTTCGGTCGCCTCGAATGGAACCAGCAGTAGAAGAAAAGCAGGGCAGCGACGGCCAGAGCAGCAGCAACAGCAACAATGATGGCAACAATAGCGGCTGTAGACAGGCCTGATTTAGGCGTTTCACCTGATGCCAGTGCTGCCGGTTTGGATTTGCCACCTGAGAAGAGAACGTAAGGTTCAATGAATTGAAACGCATTAGATCAGATAATGTGGAGCTTGCACCAGGCGGGAAAGCGAAAGGCATCTGCTTTGGTGTGCCCATAGTTGTTTGCAATGCGGAATTTCTAGAGAAGATATCGTGTAGAAGCAGTTCGTGAGAAAAGGAGGGAGAACCCACAAAGATCATATGGTGATATGGTGCAACAAAGATGCACCACCACGCGGGGCAAAACTTTTGAGGCGCCTCGAAAGGTGCAGAAGCAGTTCGTAAGAAAGGAGGGAAAGCTCACAAGGATGCAATGATGCACCAACACACAGCAAATCCACAGAGGAATCTATCCCGTACCACTCTTGCCTCCTTTCCTCTCAAGAGCGGGGCTCACATGTGGCGCAGAAGTCAGGGCAGGTGCGGCAGAAGGCAGAGGACGCATTCTGAGGCACTCCGCAGCTGCTGTAGCTGTCAGGGCATGAGAGTTTTGTGCCGTTGATGGCTCTGCATGGGGAGGGCGCAAGGGAAAGGAGAGAGGGGAAGGGTGCAAAGGCAGGGTGCAAGGGAAGAGAGGAAGAGAAAAGGTGCAAGGGCAGGGCGCAGGGAGGGGATTGTTAGCAAAGACATATGGTTGTTTTTGAGAAATCTCAAGTTGCGGCAGTCAGTTTCTCTTGTCGAGAAAGGAAATGCATTCCTGTTTAGCAGGAGGCTTGGATTGGACACACAAGCCAAGTTGTGTCTCGTGATGGTGCCTGCATATACAGAAGCTCAGCACCCCTATTTCATTGCGAGCACTCACAGCATTGCCAGCACTCACAGCGTTGCCAGCACTCACAGCTTTGAGAGTCTCTTGAGGCGTCCAAGCGATGGTGAGATGGTTCCTTCCATGTAGTTCAAACTCACGTTCCTGTGGCGCAATGCGTGTGACACCGAGAGGTATATGATGCTCAGCATCATACAAGGTGGGGAAGTAACAAGGTACGAAGGTACGAAGGTAAGAAAGGGAACGACAAGAACGTGAATGCAAGCAGTGCAGACGAGAGTGCAGGAGCACGAGAGAGAGGAGGAAACGGCGCAAGTGAGCCGCCCAGTGTTAACTCGTCGCTATTGACATGTGGAGAAGGGCTGATGCACTGAGGATGCATTGAGGAGAAGTCAATATAAATAAAGCACTACAACGATATGGTGGTTCGTGCAGAGGGGTGGATGCAGGGGGGTTGGGATGGATGGAACACGTGTGACTGCGTTGCGTTTCTAGACGTCCCACACTAGAGAAACTGGGTTGTTGAGGCGTCTCGTGCCCATCACCATGAGTCCCCACCCCGCACAAGAATGGGAATGGAATGGCAGCAACGAGGTTGGCAGTGGGCGGTGGGCAGTGGGCAGTGGGCAGTGGGCGGTGGGCAGTGGGCGGTGGGCAGTGGGCAGTGGGCAGTGGGCGGTGGGCAGTGGTGGGGATGCAGCTTTCAGGATACTCACAGGCTGACCAAGGAAGTCATGGTTGCGATGGAGTCAGGAATACCGCCGGTCAGCTGGTTGTTAAAGAGATTCCTGATGGCACATGCATGGCATGTGAGAGAGAGGCATGGGAGGGTGGCATGGGAGGGAGGCATTTCCATGTGCATGCAACGAGCATGCGTGCAACGATTATGCATGGTGCTGCAGAGTGGTATTCACAGCAGCGGCGGCGGCAGCGGCGACGGCACCTGCAGTGCAATGGAGTGGCCAGCACAGGGTGAAGCACAGCAGTGGCGAGTTTGTTCGAGGGTTCCCCAGTATCACGTACAGGTACTGTAAGTTGGGCAGGCTCAGATACCCCTGTGCTAGGCCATCACCGCTCAGCTGATTCGATGATACATCCCTGCAGGCAATGCCATGCCATGCCACCCCCCCATACATGCAACACCAGCGCACACACATGCAGCAGGCAGCCCCACGATCCACGCACAAACAGCGAGTGTTAAGGCACAGCAAAAGGGAAGCAAGGCAGGGTGATACTATATTTGTTTTGAGACGTCTCAAGGCAGCCCCACGATCCACGCACAAGCAGCAGGTGTTAAGGCACAGCAGAAGGCAAGCAAGGCAGAGTGAAGTTGAGGCCAGTGGGTGCCGTAGCTAGTGGTGTGCCGATGACTCGATGCGCATGGTGGGCAGCTGATGAAGGGGATGGGATGAGACCATCAAACTACCTACTTCAAAGCATGCCTTGCTGCATGCTGTAATACATGCTGTTACCACCATCTACGCATGCCTATGCGCATAGGAAACAACCCGAGGGAAACGAATTGCCGTCCTTCCATGCATGATCCAGATGTGTCGACCAATCGAGTTGAATGTGGCACCATGCACACTGACATTGTGCTACCCTGCATGGTGGCGCATGCGGTTGGGATGCATACTTACAGAGATGTGAGGGCTGTCAGGTTTTTTAAATAATCGAGGGTGTATAGTTCGATTACGTTGGACCGCAGATCCCTGTAACACGTGGGAGGCACAACACGGACTGTGATGCATACCCATGCGATGCACGCATGGTAGAATGGGTGAATGGGCAGAATAAATGCCCAGGCAGAGAGGCTGTGGAGGCAGAGTGATTGTGGCAAAAAGGCGGCACATCTTCTAAAAAGCCCCTGCTTCTTGCTATGCAATCTGCAAAAGAGTATGTGTGTCCTGCATGCTGCACATCTGAAAATAGCTGTATGAGATGTGATGACATGTGATAATGAGATGCCATATCCATACCCATTCCATGCCTTACAGGTTCATGAGTGTGGGGAAGCTGTTATCTATAAGGACCCACATTGAAGCGATTCTGTTTGCCAGAAGCTCCCTGAACAAAAGGAGGCACACGAAGGAATGAAGAGAAGGGAAGTTAGATTGTGTGTGGATAACAATGGGAATGAATGTGCAATTACTTCATATCAACTTAAATGGTACTGCAGATGGCGAAAATGGGTGTGAGAAACAGGTGTGGAGAACGGGTGTGTGGAACAGGTGCGGTAAATGGGTGTCGGGAATAGGTGTGGAGAATGGGTGTGGAGAATAGGTGTGGAGAATAGGTGTGGAGAATAGGTGTGGAGAATAGGTGTGGAGAATGGGTGTTGAGCTTACAGATCCACAAGGGTGGTGAGCAGACTCAGTGTGGAAATCTCAATCCCCAACGGACAGTTTTGTATTCTCCTGTTGTTGACCATGGAACGCAAAAATAATGATTGAAAACAGTTTAAGTAAATGCCAGAGATGGCATGCCGATGTAAAGATATAACACGCCAAAAACCCAACACAACTCAACATGACATGCTGTGTCATGCTATACCATGTCATAACGTGCCATACCATGCCATATCATGCCATATCATGCACCCCACGCCATGCGCCGCCTAATCATGATCCGTCAATGCATACATACATGCATGCACACACATGCCACACCGCCGCATGGGATTGCTTCTCACAGCTGGGTCAACTGAGTGAGGTTGCCCATCTCAGCAGGAATGCTGTACCACGTATTCATGGAGCACGTCAGCGACCTGCACATCCCATCCCCACACCACACGCATCAGGCAGACACATGCAGGCGAGGCGAGTCAAGTCAGATGTGTGCAGGGCAGGGCAGAGCGGATATGTGCTTCTAGATCGATCATCGATGACCATGTGCATGCTGAAGCCTGATATCAACGTGCTGATACCTCAACGTGCTCCCAGCAGAGCAGGTTGGCAAGGCAAACAAGTGCACAGCTGTACAGTACACGTGTCACGCTGCTGCAGAGGCGCCCTTTTATGACTCAGCTTGTACAGCGGCTTTTAGACACACTGCACGTGCAAGCAACGTTTTCTCCTCTTCTCTTCCCTTCTAGTTTGCTCATCTCGCCAGGTACCCTGCTGTTCTCAGCCACCCTCGTGCTGTGATAGCTTCTGGCCTTGTCATTTGACCAGTAAGCATCACACACAAGGGAATGTCAACTACGGAATTCATGCGCCTCAGACAAAGCAATCATCGGGCCTCCCCCATACATGAAGAACATGTGGTGTGGGCCACAAGGACGACAGCAAAGAGCCGCGCGCTCCATGCAAACCGAGCATGAAGGAACGACATGGGGCAGTAAGAAGCACGAAGCAGTGATACGAGACGTAAGGGAGAGCTAGAGGGAGCAACACGAAGCAGGGAGAAGGGATCGTGTCACTCCATCGAATGCAAATGCAACAGAACACGTACGGACGGAGTCATGAAGCAGCATGCACAAGCAGAAGGGACCACAACAGAACCGAGAGCATGAGCGTGCAGAAAGGATCCCATCAAGTCATCATGGCCACATACATACATAAGGTCATGGTGAAGTAGGAGAGAGTCCCACTTACAGAGACTTGAGCGAAGTGATGTTGTAGAGCGTGCCTTCTGGCGGGTACTTAACGTCCTTTATTTCCCTGCATCATTCGTGAGTCAAACACAGTTGCCTTTTCAACCTCGATAAAAAAGACGTAGCAGATGGGAGCATCGATGATTGCACTGCGTATCGTGGTTGGCTTAGGCTAGGCAAGTGGTCGGATTGGCGCATTCAAGAAGATCAGAAGATGCAATTGCTGCGGAGAAGCAAACTAGCAAGGGGAGAAGCAAGCAGCCATGGACTACTGAGTTAAATCAAGGTACACGAACTGCACAGCGGGCAGAGATCTAGGGGAGATCTAGGGACGCTGTAAAGAACATCCTTACAGCTTTGTCAAGTGGGAGAGCCGTGTGACGCTGTCAACCTGGAACTGTGTCTGGTATGTTGCAAAACTCCTGTGCATACAAGGAGGTGGTAGAAAGTTGGGTTGGAGGGCCGAGACTGGCGGCATATTGAGTCCCCATGCGACCACCGTTCACATCCCAGATTGTTACTGTGCAAAGCACAGTAAAGCACCGCGTGATACGGCACAGCAGAGCACAGCAGGACATGGCACGGCTGGCACGCACGGCTCGGCACAACACACTAATTCACCAAATTTTCCGGGCGGGGACTCACATGGAGGTGATCATGCCGTCTGAGTCGCATGTGAGGCCATCCGCTTTCTGGCAGTCGCTCCCCGCCTTCCATCCATATGAGTTGAACTCCAATGCCGTCTGCAACTCCTGCAGAACAGCACCTGCCGCGCAGGCAGCCAACAGCACGAGCCTCGCAATCAGACTGGCGGCATTCAATGCGGAAAACAGGGTCGAGACGATTCTCGAGGCGTCCGAAAAATCAGTGCAGGAAACAGGGTCCAGTTTCCCACACATCGGACGTGCGTCCAGAAGTTCACTTCAAGTTGCTCGAAGCATCAGCGCAATGATCAGGGTCACACCAGGCGAAGGGTGTGTTAAGTAGTAGTGACGGTCACTCCACGGCGTGAAACCGGCCCTTGTAAAGACACTTGCAGACGAGGCGTGCAGTGCGGTGGACGGCTGGACCGGGGGCGTGTCGAGCGCAGTAATACGGCAGACAGGAAGCGCCGCACGACGCGACACAGACTGGTCCACGCGACATCGCGCGCGCGATTCGATTTGACCCGCACAGGTTCAAGAATAAACTACCTTGCGATTCCGCAATGGGCTGTGCGAGCGACAACCTCGGCACGAAGCATGTAAATGTCACGACGAGCGTGAGGAGAAGGAGACCGCGAAGACCTTGAATCATCATCATCTTGCGTTACCAGTCCTGGTCAATCCTGGCAGTCACAGTTGGCGAACTTCGTTAGAAACGAGGAGCGCTAGCTGCTTCAATCAGATGTTCTGTCCTCACGACACGTCAGATACCGCGAATCACGTTTGATAGCTCTCAAAAAGTGGCTCCAGTTCTCTGAGAATACTGTACTAGTCGCTCCTATCCCGACCTTGTTAGGCACCAAAGTAATCAGTCAAATTCATACGGAAGATTGTTACTAGCTATCAACTTGGTGACACCCAACAAAAGGTGGGAAGAATGAGGCTATCTGGGGAGATTTGAGACTCCACAGGAGCACGTAAGGTGGAGTACGTAACCGGAAGTTGTTAACACTAGCAGCAGAAAGGGAACTACAACGTCAAGTGCGAGCCATTCACCTGGTGATTCCGCAATTTGCTGTGGAAGAAACATCCACGGTCACAGTGCAAAGACGAAGTGGAAGAGGAAGATGGAGAGCTTGTAAGTAGCGGGATGACGTGACGGAGCAGTGGTGAATTCCTGTTGACTGACTACAGCAATGAGCCGCAGGCCGGTTTGGCAGGGCGTGCCCCACACGTTCATCTGAACGCGGCTCAACGATGCGCTTTGCGTTGTACAACGGTCAGATATAATTGTGGTTCATGGACAGCCCAAGATGGGCTCTCCGCGCTATATTCTCGCTAGTATGCCTACTAGGGAAGTCAATCTACAATAAAGTTCATTTCCTCTAAAGTTGTATGGTGCCTATCATAGCGTATCACAACTCATTATCCCGATTGATACCCCCTATATTTTCACACTACCTATATGTGGTGCAGTGTGATGCCAATGCCAAGTATTTTGTGGGAACACCCATTCGGTGTGAGTGCCATGCCCCCATCCCACAAACTTGCACATGTGCGTAGCTTTCATATTCAAAGCCACTTGAGTCTACAAAGCATACATCCTACATTGCACTGCAACCTCCATGGATATACGCTTTAACAAAACAGTTCCCATGCCATGTTTTCTCACACTAAATCCAATGTGTTGGCCAAGAGACATGGAACTGTGTGTTAGAAGCAAGTTCTACACACACTTTCCAACAGCAGCAGCGAATGCACCCCAGCTTTCACGCCATCACAGCAAGTCATGGCACTTCCACGCCATCAAAGCACAACAGGTCATTTAGACGATCTATCTCCGTATCCAAAGTCGTAACAGACTCGTTCTGCGTCTCCACCTCTCGATCCACCTGACAGGGACCAGCATTTCTGTGTGAGCCGCCCAGCTCCACCAGCACGGTCTCCAGCTCGGCTGCAATCACCCCCGTGGCCGGCCGCACGGCACTCTGCTTAGATGTGCACCGCAGCGCCAGCTGCATCACCCTCAACACCAACTCATCCCGCGCCTCCATGCGAGGGTCCTTGAGGCCTGCCACCGCCTCGCTGAGGCCCGATTGAGCCAGCTGCTGCTGGACCTGGTGGTGGGGTTCCGCAGCAAAACAGGTTTGAGGGGTTGAGAGGGAGGGGGGGAGAGAGAGAGAGAGGGAGGGGGGGAGAGAGAGAGAGGGAGAGAGAGAGAGAGAGAGAGAGAGAGAGAGAGAGAGGGAGAGAGAGAGAGGGAGAGAGGGAGAGAGAAGGGGGGGGGGGGGGGGGACAAGGAAACACAAAAACACGACGGCACTCTCTCCGTCTCAACACGTGCGTACCCAGGCAAGAATGTGCAGCTGCTGCCCCGCCTCTTCATCGGAAGGAACGACGAGAGAATTGGTGGTGACGTGGCGGCCTGTCATGAGCTCAAGGATGAGAATGCCAAAGCTGCACACCACGACACCCCGTGGACAGGTGAGTAGAGGAAAGGAGAAGAGACGAGAACAAACCATAAGACGCGCCCAGCAACAGAAAGAACCAATTCAAGGACAATAGAGGCTCCTGGCTCACCTGTAGACATCAGTGGCAGTGGTGGCCTTGTTGGTTGCGGCATAGGAAGGGTCCACATAGCCCGGTGTTCCCACCACTCGCGTGCTCTGCAGTGCTGTGCCCTCGCCCTTCCTCACAAGCCCAAAATCGGAGATCTTAGCCTGCACTCATGCGCAGAAGAAAATGGATACGGCCAGGAATGGATGCATGGTAAAATCTATAGAACTCTGTTGTCCACCCATGGGAATGCACTCAAATGTCAAGAACATGAGGCGCACACACAGGCCACCCGTGTGCATGCCCGTTCATAGTAGTGCATTTGGTATGAGTCTAGCTGCACGCCTGCACCGCTTGCCTGCATGTTGCCGTCGAGCAGGATGTTGGCGGGTTTGATGTCGCGGTGAATGATGGGGAAGCTGTGGAGATACTCAAAGCCGCGTGCTGCCCCCACCAGCACGCCCACCCGCTGCTCAAAGCTCAGCGGGGAGACTGCCTCTGCAGGGGCCAGCGCATAGGAAGGACGGGCAGAGGGGGTGGGAATGGAGGGGTGGAGAAGGGGGTCGAATGAGGGAATCAGGCAAGGAGGCCTGCATGAGGAGTAATAACACTGGATGGGCAACTATGTGCGGGCATACTGCAAAGCACAAGTTTAAGAATGCACACCTTTCCCAATCCATTTGGAGAGGTCCCCGTTAGGCATGAGCTCGTAGATGAGGATTTGCTCGACCCTTGTCTTGTCGGTGATGCCGATTGAGAAGCCCAGCAGCCGCACCAGGTTGGGGTGGTGCTTCGTTGCCATCTCACACACCTGCCGGGCCAAAATGTGGGGCCAATAAAAACAATGTTTTGATAATTTATCCGACACTGCTTTGCGGCCATCTCACACGCCTGCCAGCAATGACGGTGGGCCCAGTAGGACACAGTTTACCTACTCATTTGACACTGCTTTGCGGCCATCTCAAAACTGACATTCTCTGGCACTGCTGCCTACCAGAATGGTGTGGTAACATGGTGTGAAGAAAGAACAGTCACCTGGCACACCCACCAGCAAATACAGCACGCTCGAATGGGCCATGACCATGTAACGCCTCTAGATTCTACAGCACTGCACCAGCGCACATCACACCACACCACACTACACCACATCAAATCCCATCACATCACATCACATCACATGACACCCCATCGCATCGCATCGCACCACACGGCCACGGTGACACACCTCTTTATCAAAGTCTGTGGTGACAATCTTAGCTCGCTTCACGGCCCACGGCGTGGCACCATCGGTGGGGGAGACGCCGCGATACACGTCACCAAACCCTCCTATGCCCAGCAGGTTGGCCTCGGACCATCCGTTGGTTGCCTTCGCCACCGTCGCCAGTGAATACTCCTGACACACCTGCGCTGCCGCCTTGCTGCTCACCAGCGCTGTGGGAATGAAAGGAGGAGGGAGAGGAAGAAGCGTGGGGGAAAGAAGGGCAGAGGGAGGTGATAGGATGTAGCAGGGGAACAGGCTGGAAGGGGTACTAGAATCATGGCAAGTTATCCAAGCAGCATGTCATGTTAAGCCCAGGTAGGGCAGGCAGTGTAAGGTGGGAAACAGTGTAGCATGGAAAGCAGTGCGGTGTAGCACGCACCATTCGGTCGCCTTGCATTGAACCAGCAGAAGAAGAGCAGGGCAGCGACGGCCAGAGCAGCAGCAACAGCAGTAATTATGGCAACAATGGCGGCTGTAGACAGGCCTGATTTGGGTGTGTCCCCTGCTGTCGGTGCTGCCGGTTTGGACTTGCCACCTGAGAATTGGACAAAAGATTGATTGAAATGCATTAGATCAGATCATTGGGGGCTCGAACCAGGCAGGTGGGAGAACGAAAGACTTTTTTTCCGGTCTGCCCGGCGTTGTTTGCGATGCACAATTTTTGGAGAACATATGGTGCAGCAGCAGTTGGTAGAAAAGAAAGGGAAACCTGCAGAGGTGCCTTTTGAGGCGCCTCAAAACCCACAGGGATGCCTTTTGAGGCGCCTCAAAACACACAGGGACGCAACCACGCACCACCACAACGCGGCGAATGCAGGAAGGAACTCACATGTGGCGCAGAAGTCAGGGCAGGCGCGGCAGAAGCCAGAGGACGCATTCTGAGGCACACCGCAGCTGGTGTAGCTGTCAGGGCACTTGAGAGCAGTGGCGTTGGTGACGCTGAGTATGTCACGGCAAGGAGGGGAATCACAAAGAAAAGGGCGTTTCTGTGTCGAGCCTCGCCCCTCTCATCAACCTGCACTCCTCTACCTGCACTCCTCTACCTGCACTCCTCTACCTGCACTCCTCTACCTGCACTCCTCTACCTGCACTCCTCTACCTGCACTCCTCTACCTGCACTCCTCTACCTGCACTCCTCTACCTGCACTCCTCTACCTGCACTCCTCTACCTGCACTCCTCTACCTGCACTCCTCTACCTGCACTCCTCTACCTGCACTCCTCTACCTGCACTCCTCTACCTGCACTCCTCTACCTGCACTCCTCTACCTGCACTCCTCTACCTGCACTCCTCTACCTGCACTCCTCTACCTGCACTCCTCTACCTGCACTCCTCTACCTGCACTCCTCTACCTGCACTCCTCTACCTGCACTCCTCTACCTGCACTCCTCTACCTGCACTCCTCTACCTGCACTCCTCTACCTGCACTCCTCTACCTGCACTCCTCTACTCCGCTCATTCTCCATCACAGGCCCTTGCACATCGACGGTTCAGGGTACAGGCTCAAAAGATCAGGGGGGAGGGTACAGGCTCAAAAGATCAGGGGGGAGGGTACAGGCTCAAAAGATCAGGGGGGAGGGTACAGGCTCAAAAGATCAGGGGGGAGGGTACAGGCTCAAAAGATCAGGGGGGAGGGTACAGGCTCAAAAGATCAGGGGGGAGGGTACAGGCTCAAAAGATCAGGGGGGAGGGTACAGGCTCAAAAGATTGTGGCGTAGAAGATATTACACTCTTTCCCTCCCGTCCAGCTTTTTTCCATTCAAGGCATATTGACCAGCCCTGGACCCGTTCTAGTTTAGGGTTTAGGGTGAGCTGAAATAGGAAACCAAACCAAGAGGCTGAGCCCAGTGGCCCGCTTTGCATGTCATATCCGTTCCTTCCTGGGTGTCCACTTCAGAAAAAGGTGCTAGCCGGCCGTTGTGCTAGCCGTTATGCCAGTAGACTAGTGAACAGTGTACCTTTTCTTATTACTTACAGGGTTGAGAAACGGTGTAACTTTCCCAGGGCTGGAGGGATGGTTCCTTCGAAATAGTTCGAAGCGACGTTTCTGCACTCATGCAAAGGCAATGCGAAGGGACAAGGCGGGTGCGGGAAAAGAAAGTGAAGTGGCTTAAGCAAAAGAAAGACAGTACAAGATCCGCTTGTAAGTTAACCCCCCCCCACACACACACACAGAATATGGTTGCACAGGACGTGTGCGTGCATGTATCCATTGTAAAATCAGAATACAAGTGAAATCAGGACGTCTGGAGAGAAATGATGGATGGATATAAAAGTGCTGTGCAAAAACTCACAGGCTGACCAGGTTAGTCATGGTTGTGAGAGATCTAGGAAGAGTGCCAGTCAGTTGGTTGTTGGAAAGATTCCTGATGGCACATGCATGTCAGGAGAGGGAGGCATGGAGCATGAAAAGGGGGCATGGAAACAAATTCACGAATGTAGACATGTGTGGGAATGGGGAATCACAGGAGAAGAACTGCCACCTCCATGTGCGTGTGCAGAAACGGAGTCAGGTGGAATCGCGGGTGCAATGGCAGGTGCACTGGAAGGTGCAAGCAATGGCTGACAGTAGTATGAAGGAATTGCACATACATGCATTGCAAGTGGGATATTGTCTAGAAAAGAAAACAACTTCTTTTCAGAAATTGCAGCACGCACAAGAATTGCAAGGTGGGCAGGCTAACGGTTGGTAGCACTTTGTCTCCCTCAAACTGGTTAGATGAGAGATCCCTGTTGATTGAAGGCCACCGCAACGCACCACACATGTGCACCACGAATGCACACACATGCACACACACACACACACACATGAAGCAGGCATGCAGGGCATGATAATGTAGGCACAAGAGGCCATCACATGGCGGAGGTTGTTGGATAAAAGCACGCAGGCAGGCTGACAAGTGGGGGCATGGTGATGATGGGGTGAACTTCAAAAAGGCATGGCAGCGACGAGACGAATAAAGCGAAGTGCCCGGAATGATTGACTGTTGAGTCGACTCAAAAGTCAACGTGCCTGGATTGATTGGCAGCATTGCCAGTTACATACTAGAATCGAATTCACTAGAATTGACGCCATGTCCAAGTGCATCGGCAAAGGAGGCAGGTCCCTTCATGCATGATGTGTGCGCCTAAGTTAAAGAATGATGCAGCCGACCGGAGTGCAGTGGACTGACAGAGATGTGAGGCCGGAGAGACGAGTCAGGTCCATGAGTAGGTCGGGCCCAAATGTGTTGGAGCTCACGCTCCTGCCGAGCCGTGCAGCATGTGTGTGTGTGTGTGTGGGATGGGTGGGATGGGTTGGAATTGGAAAGGCTTTTGAAGGGATGTATTGGTGAAGTATGGCAGCGATTGACTGGGGGTGCGACTTGCGGTGACGGCGATGGTGGTGATGTGATGTGATGGTGATGGTGATGGTGATGGTGATGGTGATGGTGATGGTGATGGTGACAAAGGCATTAGCAGAAAGCCTCTTGAGTGATGAATACTCCTCGCACTCAAGTGGCACTCATTGGAATCTCTTTGAGCGTATCCACAAAAATGCAGCACCACCATCGCTGATTGAGAAAACGCTCTAAGAGATTCGATGAAGGTCAATGAAGGACAAAGAAGCTCAAGGAAAAAGAGCATGCTTCGTTCTTATGCTCCGTGCGATGCAGAAGGCTGCTCCTTATAGAATCACAAGATACACAGGGGGTGGGGCTGGTGACAAACAAACACATGACGGTTGGTACCACAGGCCAGCCGCAGGGCAGGGCAGGGCACACAGGTGAAAGGCGTACATACAGTTTCACGAGATGGGGGAATAATGTGCTGATCGTCTCCACCATATACGATATGCGGTTTGACGGCACCTCTCTGCACAGAAGGAGGTTGGCGCCAGGTTGAGTTAATGAGGGACGAGAACACAAGCAGAACCAGGCAGTCAGTTCAGAGACACGTCAAGAGGAGGAAAGCACAGGGTTTGTCGGGGCTGAGCTGAGTACACCGGTGCTGGCAGAAGCAGTGGTGCTGGCAGAAGCAGTGGTGCTGGCAGAAGCAGTGGGGACTGTTGCTGTAAGGTTCTGAGGCTCACGATTCCGGCTTAGGGGTAATGAGTGTGGGGAATGGGAGTGGGTGCGGGGGTGTGGGGTTGTTGGGAAGGAACAGGTGTGTGGCTCACAGTTCCAAGAGGTTTGTGAGACGAGGCAGCCCCCCAAACCAATCCTCAAGCTGATTCCCAATACCACAGTTGCTGATTCTCCTGTGGGTCATGTCATGCAGCACAAAAGAAAGAGAGAGGGGCATTTTACACAGAAGGACAGCACATGCATGAAGCAATGCCATACAGTGCCATGCAAAGCCATGCCATGCCATGCCATTCCATTCCATACCATACCAGGCAAAACTGTGCCACGCAATGTGATTTCGTGTCATGCTATGCTAACTGTGTTTTATCTTCTCAAGTGCGTGCGTGTGGATGTGTGCGTGTGGATGTGTGCGTGTGGATGTGTGCGTGTGGATGTGTGCTTGTGGATGTGTGCTTGTGGATGTGTGGGTCGCCCTCACAATGCTCTTTTCGTTCATCATACGCCATGAGACACCCCCGCATGTGCTTACAGCCCAGTGTGCGCTCGCTCGCAGTGTGAGGTTCAAATCCACGTGAAGTGAGGCGATTCCACAGGTGGGTGCCTATTGCGCAATGAGACACGTGCACGTGCTTACAGCCTGGTGAGGCGAGTGAGGTTGGCCATTTCAGTGGGGATGTTGGCGGTCACATCCGACCAGCACTCCACCGTTCTGCAGAATCAAATGCACCAGGCAAACCAGCCGCACCAGGCAAACCAGCCGCACCAGGCAAATTTGGGGATGGACCTTTATTTGTGTTGCAAGCATGAATCAAAACCTCTCATCCTACACCGACAGGCGAATACCAGCAAATGGGCGTTCCCAGTTCCATCCCAGGTGGGAACTTACAGAGACCCCAGCCAGCTGATGCTGCAGAGGCTGCACTGCAGCGAGCAAGTGGGTCTTCCCAGGTGTAGCGTCTACGTAGGTAAGGGTGCAATAGACTCACAGGGACTTGAGCCAGGTGAGGTCGTAGAGGTACCCCCTTGGGATGAGTCCCGCTTCTGAAAACTCTCTGTGTGTTTGTCAGTCACATGCCGGGAAACGGGGAAGGAAGGAAACATGGAATCAAGATGGGCATGTGCACTCTCAGGAACCATCCACGATGGTGATGGTGATGGTGATGGTGATGGTGATGGTGATGGTGATGGTGATGGTGATGGTGATGGTGATGGTGATGGTGATGGTGATGGTGATGGTGATGGTGATGGTGATGGTGATGGTGATGGTGATGGTGATGGTGATGGTGATGGTGATGATCAAACACGGCAGGCCGAGTGGCAATGTATCAACGCTTAATATTCCACAAGGGGCAGCAGCAATAGAAGAAACAGATTCGCAACACACAAGTTCAATGAGACGCGGCGGGGGAGCAAATATGTTCCGTTTCCACACGAACCACACCAAACTACCCTTAACCACACAGGACTACACCAGGAGCATAGTTGTTACCTTAACAGGAGAGTGAAAGCACAAGGTGGGAGCTCTGAATCTATTTGGCATGGAATGGACGTGGCCCCCCTTCCCACACACGCCCACGCACGCACGCACGCACGCACGCACGCACGCACGCACGCACGCACGCACGCACGCACGCACGCAAGCACGCACGCACGCACGCACGCACGCACACACGCACGCACGCACACCCACACGCACACCCACACGCACAGACACCCCGCAGATCCCCGTTCAGCGCTTTGCATTGGACTGCCCAAGAGCATCGTGACAGCACAGTGCAGTGCAGCACACATGAGCGACCTGTGTGTACCGCATGGGCGTGCGTACAGCTGGGTGAGGCGCGACAGACGGGTGATGGAGGTGGGGGGGAAGGGCTCCATCAACAAATTCCTGAAGCACCTGCGCACAGCAGGCATGGACATTGGAGGCAGAATGGGCGTATAAGAAGGAATGACTTTTTGAGAGAGAGGGGGGGGGGCGAGGGGAGAGAGGGAGTCTGTGGGGAAAGAGAGCGTCTGCGGGTGTGAGGGGAGGAGCGTGTGTGTATTTGTTTGTTTTATGCAGGATGGGGCAGACCAGGCTCACGAATGGGCGTCTGGGCGTTGCTGCAAAGAGCAAGAGGAGCCCTGCGAGATTGAAGTTGAAGTGAAGAAGAAGATTGAACAAGATAAGAGCGAGCAAAACAGGCCCTTTCTTACGTTGCGTTAACAAGTGGGAATGGGAATCGCAGGGCGTGAGGACAGCAGAGAGGCAGTGAGAGAGTCTTGGAAACATGACAAGCTGAGTTCGATTCGAGCTAACATGTGTAGGAGCGGGAATCATCTGGGAAGGTTGAGAACGACAGCAGCTAGCAACGTGTATGGTATGGCACGGTGGTGTGCGGCACATAACGGTACGATAGGACACACACACAGCAGGCTAATAGGCTATGCTTGAGGTGCCTCAAAAATGAACACAGCAGAGAGGTGTGGGCGCACATGGAGGTGATCATGCCGTCTGAGTCGCATGTGAGGCATGCGGCTTGCCTGCAGTCACTCCCCGCCTGCCAGCCCGTGAAGTTTGTGCTCCAACGCTCATCGCCTGTGGGCCAAGCCTTCTGCAACTCCTGCAGCACCGCACCTGTCGCACAGCCAGCAACAGCAACAACAACAGCAACAGAAACAGCAACAGCAACAGCAGCAGCAACAACAACAGCAACAGAAACAGCAACAGCAACAGCAACAGCAACA